CAACCTTTAACATCAGTGAACATTTGCAGAAATTAAAAAAAAGTGGCTATTTGCTACCTCTAGTTTTGGCTGTCCACAAGAAGTAGGAGGATGTGGACAAGCAAAATATGTAGAGCATATAAAAATCTAAAGCTATGTATGATATATTAAAACATAGGGCAGAGTATGCAAAGCATATAAAAGAATGTCTTGGTTCCTAAGTTGAATGTAAACATTTCTGAAAAAGTAGTTTCTGGAGGCAGTCCCTGCAGGAAAGTGAAAGGCTGTTTTAAGCAGTAAATGGACAGTCCCAGCTCCAAGCAGACTCTGCAAGAAGAGATTAAGTGTCCTGTGGTAAATGGACAGTCCCAGCTCCAGACTCTGCAAGAAGAGAGCCAGGGATCACTTGTTGTCCCCGTTGCTCATTGATTTGCTCGAGCAGGTGCCAGTAACGTCTCCATTCTCCCTGTTGCATGCTAGTATCCCAATGGTGTCTGCTCACTTCAGGAACACGAAGAGCAGTTATTTTTACTATTGTTACTGTGTTTGGCTTATCGAATACACCACAGGTAGCTTGCCAGGCTGTGCCGCGAGGGCGGGATACTCTTAGTAGTTTGCGGGGCTCTCCGAGAGGGATGGAGGCTTTTGGGGTGGCCTCTAATCACCTTTACAGATGTTCCCAGTCTACCAAATGCAAGATTTTGGGCGACTGGCATGTTGTAACCATCTGTACACTGACAAACACCCACCTGCCTGCATCTCTGGGCACACCTGGGACATCTGCGGCCTCAAGTTGATCTCCTTGAGGTTGATGAAGTGCGCCCAGGAGGTTGTTGAGCCGCTGGCAGAACAGGACCCCATCGCGAAAGGTCTGTGCCAGGTCGAATATCTGCGCGAACCCGGTGGTTGGTGGGCAGCACCTTGCAGTGGCTGAGCCACCACGCGCACTTCTTCCCCGGCTCCATGCCCCACAGCGCTGTGATTCAGCCAGTCCGGGGCAAGTGGCGACTGGCCGCCCCCTCTGTTTCTCCGTGCCCCTGCCGATGCCATTCTGTCAGAATCTTGCAAAACAGCTGGCAATGACCAGCAGGAATCATGCGTAGGGTTTCAGCAGGGATCACGTGTGGAGTTCCACGCCTGGCGTGCTGAGCCACATGCTGTCTAAGGCGAGATGGTGTGCTGGGTTCGGGAGAGCGCAAGGGTTTCTGGTGGCCTCGGTAACACCTTGGCCGAGGAAGTTCTCCGTTCTCGGATCAACAGGGCAAGGGAATGCACTGGTATAATTTATACAAGTCAGTTTCCTGGCATAGCGAATGGCATGTAGGAAGGCAGAGAATAGAAATGAGGTGTGAATGGTGTTTGCATCTTCTTTATAAAATATAGTATGGATGGGTGGCAGTAAGTCTCCGTGTCTGGAGGTTGAACTTCATAGAATTAAAATGTTAGAGCCCAAAGGATCTTTTTGCCCTGGAGCAAGGTGGAGAGGAGGCTTGGACTGCATCTGGCAGTGCTCAGGGGACTCTATAGGGCTAGGATTCAAACCAGGACCACATCATCTGCAGTATTATCTCTCCACCGTAGATGAGTTTTAAGAGCAGTAATTTTATTTTAGCAGGGTACCAGGATTTTTAAAAAAGATTAAGCATCAAAAGATTTTAACAGTAAAAGGGTAGCACATCAAATAGGAAAATACTGCAAATTACTTATCAAACAAGGGATTAATGTTTAGAATTAAAAGAGAACAGACAAAAAAAAGAGAATAGACAAGTATAAAATGGAAATTTTGACATATGCCAAAGATTTCAATGAATATTTTATTTTATTTGGAGTCTGATAATGCCCAGTGGTACTCTGGAACTACTCCTGTACTCTCAGGGGATCATATGTGATACCAGGGATTGAAATCACTGTATCACTGTATGGCAGGCACTTTTCTTCTCTCTCTCTCTCTCTCTCTCTCTCTCTCTCTCTCTCTCTCTCTCTCCTTTTGGACATTGTGGTTTGTAATACAGATGCTGAATGGTTGTCGTCTATATCCCCTTACCCACTTTCAACACTCAGTTCCTGTTGTTCATTGATTTGCTCGAGCAGGTGCCAGTAACGTCTCCATTCGTCCCAGCCCTGGGATTTTAGCAGCCTCTCCTTACTCGTTCTTCCCAATGGTGCCATATTGGAGGCTCTTTCAGGGCTAGGGGAATGAGACCCGTTATTGTTACTGTTTTTGGCATATTGAATATGCCACGGGGAGCTTGCCAGGCTCTGCCGTGCAGGCGGGATACTCTCGGTAGCTTGCCGGGCTCTTTGAGAAGAATGGAGAATGAAATAGGGATTGAAATAGGGTCATTCAGATGTGCCTTATTCGCTGTATTACCTCTCTAGCTCCTCAAAGTCTAATTTTATTTTATTTGCTATATTTTTTTATTTTTTGAGCTATTTAATCTATTTGTATTTGATGTTTGTTCATGGCATTAGAAAGAGTTGTGAGTCCATAAGGTATATAAGGAAAACATAAGCAACATTCTGCATGACATTGAGGCATTTATTTCATTTATTTATTTATTTATATTGAATCATTGTGAGATAGATCCTTAAAAAGCTGTTTATGATTAGGTTTCAGTCATACAGTATTCCAACACCCGTCCCTGCACCCATGTAATTTCCCATCACCAATGTCCCCAGTTTCCCTCCCATCGACCCCCACCCCCCACCCCTTGCCTGCCCCTATGGCAGGCACTTTTCTTCTCTCTCTCTCTCTCTCTCTCTCTCTCTCTCTCTCTCTCTCTCTCTTTTGGACATTGTGGTTTGTAATACAGATGCTGAATTGTTGTCGTCTATATCCCCTTACCCACTTTCAACACTCAGTTCTTGTCCAACGTGATCATTTTTAACTATTGTCATACTGGTCCCTTCTCTATCTTACCTATCCTCCACCCCACACACACCTGTGGTAGATTCCAACCATTTCAGCCTGGGCGGCGGGGGTGGGTGGGTGGGGGTAGTGTGATGTGATTAATAGAGAAGAGAAGGAGGCTCAGCTAAAGGATATGCCTTAAGATCACATGTCCAGAAAAATGCAGAAACAGAACAGATAAGGACATCTGACCTCAGAGCAGCATTCTTACCGAACATGTCCCCCCAGAAAGGACTAGTGGACATATTTATACTGACAATTCTGTCTGTTCATACCCACCAGAGCTTGTGGGTATGAAGAGAGAGGCATGTATATATTCTGAAGAATTATTTATTTTAGCAGAAAATAAGAAAAAAATTATAAAGAGGGTGAAAGTTAGGGACACAAGGGGAACAGGCAAAGCAATGAGGAAGATGGCCCCATGGAAGGGGTTACTGATGTGGAATGTCAGGAGGGCGTGCCGAGGATGTGCCTGATAACCTGAGAACATCTTAACCCTTGTTTTATTGCCCTGCTTGCTTTAAACTCAATCAATAGTGTTCACCCACTCCCCTTTATTGGAAGTGCATAAAAGAGGAGGGGGGATGGGGGAGGGAAAGGAAAGGAAACTGGGGACATTGGTGGTGGGTGAAGGAACAGGTGATGGAATGTTGCGTGAGTGAAACCAAATCGTGAACATTGTAACTGTGTATCTTATGTGATTCAGTAATTTAAAAAATCAGAGAAGAAGGTTATCTACTATAGAAGATAGGACCAGAGTGATAATACAGCAGAAGAGCATTTGCCTTGCATGCAGCTGACCTGGGTTCAAGACTCTGCATCCCTTATGGTACCCCAAGCACTGCCAGGAGTATAATTTCTGATGGCAGAGCCAGGAGTATCCCCTGAGCATTAATAGTATGACCTTACCCCACAAAAAAGGGGGGGATGTAGAAAATAAAAAGAGGCTTAATAAGGGCTGTAGCTATAGTACAACAGGCAGGGCATTTGCCTTGCATTCGGCCGACCCCGGTTTGATCCCCAGCATCTCATATGGTCCCCCAAGCACCGCCAGGAATAATTCCTGAGGGCAGAGCCAGGACTAACCCCTGAGCACTGCTGGGTGTGACCCAAAAAGTAAAAAAAAAAAAGGAAGCTTGATAGAGTGAAGTGACAGGAAAATTTCCTAATTTGGAGTAGTTTGGCATATCGAATATACCACAGATAGCTTGCCAGGCTCTGTATTTGATATGCCAAAAACAGTAAATACAATGGGTCTCATTCCCCTGACCCTGAAAGAGCCCCCAATACTGCAGCATTAAGAACGATGAGGAAGGAGAGGCTGATGGCTCTGGGGTTAGCATGAATTGGGGTTGAAAGGTCTTTTTTTTAAAAAACAATTTTAAAGAGTTATTATTTAAAAATTGAAATCATAGTAAATAATGATCAGCAGAGAGAGGATAGAAATATATGTTCCTAACTAAAAGAGAATCAGACAACTTAAAAAAAGTGGGGAGCTGGAGCCACGTTTGATCCCTGGCACTGCATATGTGTGCCCTGAGCCCTGCCAAGAGTGATCACTGAGCACAGAGCCACTAGTAAGCCCTGAGAAGTAATGAATTAGCGCCCAAACCAAATAAATAAACTCTAAGGCATTGATAACAGGAACTAAAAGAGAAGGCCTCAATATCTACATTTATTTATTTACTTATTTATGCTTTTTGGTCACACCTAGTGATGCTCAGGGGTTACTCCTGGCTCTGCACTCAGAAGTTACTCCTGGCAGTGCTAGGGGGACTGTATAGGATGCTGGGAATCGAACCCAGGTTGGCCGCATTCAAGGCAAATGCCTTACCTGCTGTACTGTAGCTCCAGTCCCAATATCTACATTTAGCATATATTAAAATATGTATTTAATATATATATTATATGTGTATACATTATACACCTAGTATCTACCCAGAAGTGCTTGGGGTGCTCTATGACACCAAGGAGAGAACCCAGAGTCATGCACACGTAGAACATGCTCTTCTCCTTGAACCTCCCTCACTCTCCATATGTGTATTTTTCTTGGCAGTGGCTTGTCCAGCAGCTATTTCTAACCTTGACTTCCCCCTTCTTCCTTCCTAAGTGCTACTCTTCAAACTCTACCAGCGGGCACAGCATGTGTACAGCGAGGCTGCACGGGTGCTCCAGTTTAAGAAGATCTGTGAAGAAGCCCCCAACAACACACTCCAGCTGCTGGGAGAGTTAATGAACCAGAGCCACACAAGCTGCCGGGACATGTTTGAGTGCAGCTGCCCTGAGCTGGACCAGCTAGTGGACATCTGCCGGTGAGGATGAAGGAGCAGTGTGGTCGAGGGGTCAGGGGATGCCACTATCAACGGAAATGTTAAACAAATGACATATCTGCAGCGTTTTCATAATTGAGGTGACAGAAGGTCCTTTCCATTTATTTTTTTTTCTTTTTGGACCATAGCTGGTGATGCACAGGGGTTACTCCTGGCTCTGCACTCAGGAATTAACCTCTGGCGGTGCTCAGGGGACCATGTGGGATGCTGGGAATCGAACCTGGGTCGGCTGCTTGCAAGACAAACACCCTACCTGCTGTGCTATTGCTCCAGCCCCTCCTTCCCACTTCTTATGTGAGAGGCCATCTATGATGGAGAGAACGCTGAACTTGTTTCCTACTGAACAGCTGAAGGACAGAGAGGTTGGAGTCAGGCACAATGGTTTCATGAGGTTTGGAGCTGGTTCACAACTCCATCAGAAAACATTTCCATTTTTGGATGAGTAGGCATTTCTGAGAGGTGTTTTTTCATAGGCCCAGTTGTTACTCTCATGATATTTTTAATCACTGGTGTCACTCAACAGCAGGTTTGCCAGCATTCCTGTCTGGTGTCCTAAGTTTAGCTCCTTTTTTTCAAGAAGAGGTAGAAAACGGAAAGAGGCCTCAAGCTTGATAGGAGGTACGATGCAGAAGGCTGTTGAATGAGATGTCCAGAGAGCTGGCATTGCTGGCCTTTGAGGTTTAAGTTAGGCATCTTGGGAAAAATAAGGACTAAGAAAGGCAAGTTAATAGTGGGTCTGTTGAGATAGAAATGTATAGGGGAAAGCCCTTACAATGCTTGGAGCATCATGCAATTGCTTGTGAATGAACGGTGAATAGAATGGAAGGGCCTTTCTCGACGAGGGCTCTCATAGATCTTAGGAGAACTGAAAGGAAAATTAGGCCACGTTGGCCCAATGCTCTTTCCACTCTGCAAAGATAATACAGAACTGCATCAATTAGTAATGAAAATATAATTAACAACTTGGCGCCTGTGGCTTGCTTTACTCATTGCCACACTCCCAGCCTGAAAAGTTTAAATCAAGTAGTTCCACTGATCATAAGTGGCATGTGTAATCCAACTTGTCCAGACTTGGTCATAGTATTGATGAGAATTACTATGCTGACGTCAGGGCTTGCTCACTAATTGCCAAAAAGCCTTCCACAGTTAGTTTCATTATAAATGCTCTTTTCTGAAAATATCAAGGGCCCAGTAAATAGAGGGGACAAATATTGTTCAGTCTGGAAGTAAAAGGAAGTAGAATGATTTGTGCAGAAATCAGGAAGAAGCATCTTTGCCTGGAAGGCAGCAGGGGGAATTTGAATCCTTCCTGAAAAGTGGAGGCACCTTTGACAGCTTCTCAGGATTCTCTTACAAGCTCTCTTTTCTCTAAGGATCAATCAGTACTCTTGCTCTTCCGGAGCTTATATTTCTCATCAAGGAAGGAGGGAAATGATAGTATAGAAGAAACAGTGGCAGTGGTTAATGCCTGTGGGGGCAGGCTAAGAAGGGGGAAGAGAGTACCAGGGTTGGGTGGTAGTTGGTATTTGGCCTGGTCAAAGCAGGTCTCTCTGAGGAGATGCTATTTGAGCAGAGACTTGAAGGAAGTGAAGAGATGAGAGCAGCAAGTGCACGGGCCCTGAGGTGGATATGTGGCTGGCGCAACACGAGTGAGTAGCTGCAGGACCCATGTGGTTGGAGGGCCGGAAAAGGAGAGCATAGTCAGAGATGCGGGGAATGGAGTGGGAGTCATACCACTTGGGCCTCTGGCGCGGTGGGGGGAGAAAGGAGTCAGGCTTTGAGTAGAGGAAGGCACTGTGGAAGTGCTAAACAGTGTGATGCCAGGTACAGTATGCCTGGATGTAGGCTCCAGGCCGTTGGGGGGCGAGGGCGGGGAAGAGAAGGATCACGGTGAGATGATGTTTGGTTTCTGACTTGAGAAAATTTCCTCCTCGCTTTCCCCCAGCCTCCCCGCCTCTTGTAAAAGTCACAGTGTTGGAAGCCAGACCTCACATTTCGAAGTAAAAATTCTTTTATAAGACCACAATCTGGGAAAGCAGGAAGAGGCCTGCGGGCTCCGGAAGGCATGAAGAAGTTCAGTGATTTGAAGCAGTTAGCATCCTGCAGGAGAGCCTGGCTCACAGGCAGCGTTTTGCGATTCTGATTCTGCCTTTCTCACCTTAGTTATTCTAAGACGTGATTACTGGCCTTCATTTGAAAATGTAAAGGTGGAGGCTTCGGTTTTCACTATCTGCAGCGTTTGAACTGTGAGCAAAGTCACTTTGAGCAGGGGAGCAGTTCCTTGAGTTGGATGAAAAGTAGGCTGCAAGTTAAGAGGGTTGAATTCTAACTCTTTCTGTTTTCCTTCCGAGCTCTGTGATTTTGGACTCTTGCCTGGTTTTAATGCTCTCTACTTTCTCTCTCTCTCTCTCTCTCTCTCTCTCTCTCTCTCTCTCTCTCTCTCTCTCTCTCTCTCTCTCTCTCTCCCCTTCTGGTATTCCCCAAGACTATGTATTTTTTTAAAAAAGGGTTTGAGTGAAAATTTACATAGTGATTGTGTCTAAAACATGGTTTAGGCTGCAAATATCAAGGAAAGGACTTGGTTTGGAAAACTCGTTTCTTCATGGCAGCTTAAACATTTCTGCTCAGCCTGTTTTCATCTATTGTGATGTGGTTCTGAGGAAAATTCATTTGGGTCTAGTTTCTGGAGCTTTATTCTTTTTCATCCTGTTTTTGTTTGGCAAATCAACTAAGTATTTAAATTAGTTTCTACTTATTTATAGACATATAGGGGTTGAGTTTCCGTTATTGGAAGACTATCTTTTGGCATGTGGAAAATATTGGCTGGAATTATTTTCTACTCCTTAAGCTTCTCAGTTTTTCTTTGCTGCCACTGTACCCACCAGATAATACTCTCCTAATTATCTAGGTTGATTGTGGTTTTTGAAAGATTGTCAGTGACAGAGCACCTCAGATGAGGATACCCAGGGGAATAAAATAGACAGTGTAACATGGACACTATTCCTCCCTTCAAGTCTAGAAATACTTTTTCAAAGACTGTCTGTGTTGCCTGTGAAACTGAAATCTAAACTCCATTTCCAAAGTTCTGGCGGTCTCTTTAGTGGGGTTGTAGAGAGATGCATGAGGAGAATAGAAGAATGCAAGACACGGTAACATGTGATGGTGAAAAAGAATGAAAGGCTAAAGGGGGCCAGAGAGACAGCTCAGTTGTTTATGTTTTGCATATGGGAGGCCTGGGTTCAATTCCAAGGTCTGCATAGTACCCAGCAGCACTGGGGGGAATAGTCTCTGAGCACCACCAGGGTGCCCCTGAAACAAAACACAAGGTGAGGAGTAGGAAGAGAAAACGTTACAATAAAAAAAATTTCAAGTTCAAGTGGAAAATGAATGCACTCACTGTAGTTCTTCCTGACACTGAGACTCTCTCACCTGGCAGAAAAAGTACTGCAGGTACTGGGAAGGGCCTTGGCAAAGTGATATAAGGGCCACTGCTGCCATAAATTTCGCATCGGATAGAGTATTTTTTAGTCTAAGAATTATCAGTACTACCGTGATTCCCTGGTCCCATGAGAGAGATTAGTACCATAAGGAGGGTCTGATGAAGACTGGGTGGGCGAGTAGATGGTCACCTCCCAGAGACCAGAGGTGAGAAGGTGGAAACTGAAGCATGCTCAGAGGGAAAGACCTTGAAGACAATCTGTAGGTTTACTTGTGGCACTTGAAAATTTCCTTAGTTTTTCTGAAGGCCTGCCTGCATGAGAAAGCAGCCTAATTGAAGGACTCTGATGCCTCTGATACTCAGGTCATTTTATATACAAGCTAAATCCTATTGTGATTGTGCTTGGCTGTTCAGAGGATACTGTAAGGTAACTATAGGGCATCTCATAGGAAGCTGCTTCATGACCCAAGTACACAGAGGGGATTAGGGGTTGAGAGAATAGAAGAGACCACAGCAAACAAAATGCTTGCTTTTTTTTTTAATTATAAAAAAATTTTTTTAATTGTAGTCTTAAGAGAAAATCAGTTTAGAATCCAAAGACAAGACAAGGGAGGGAGAAGAAAACTACCCTTATGCAGTTTGGCTGTTTGTTATTTATTTTTAAATTAATTAATGCTAGAAAACTTCAATTATATGAAACAAAGTATAATAAAGAAGGAAAAAGATGAAGCTTTCTCAATTATGTTTTTAATCAGTAAAATGTAAACTTTAAGAAATGTCTACAATTTAAAGTAGAATTTATTGAGAACACAAAACAATTTTGAAACTGACTAATTGTATGTGAGAAAACTCATTTGCTATCGGTTTCCCTGGTTATACTTAAGAAAAAGTAGCTAATGCCTTTTATTTCTACTTTGACACTTACTGAAATTAGAGAAGATTCATTGCTCTGTGGGCAAAGGAGAGGAAAGCGAGGCTCAATGTGAGGAAGGCTGAGTTCTAGCTCTGCCCGAGAAAAATTATTTATTGCCCAAGCTATGAAGGAAGAAGATGAATAACACAATTTAATCAAGCAACAAAGGTTCCAGCAGTTAGTTGGCTATCTTCCTCAGAAGTCTTTCCAGCACTTTATTCAACAGCCACATTGCTCTGCTTCCTACATCCATTCTCCTAACAGGTCAGAACTGAGGAGACTGAGATGCAAATCCACAGTTGAATGCTTTCCTTCCAATGCTAAGTACTAATCTGCACAGTTTTCCAAGAAAAATGGAGAGAGCCACTTCCGCCACCCTTAGATGCTCACTTCTCTTTGGGCCGTCTGCTCATTGCCTCGATTCATTAAATAGAATAATTATATTCTATTAAATAATTCGTTAAATAATTATATAAATATACGTGCATTTAAAATTATAATTTTACACAAGCAATAACTTACACACAAAAGGTAGCACTGAAGAACTGTCCTCCCGGTGTTCATCGATTTGTTCGAGCGGGCACCAGTTAACATCTCCATTGTGAAACTTGTTGTACTGTTTTTGGTATA